TCAGATGTGATGCATAAAAAGAGGCAACACTTTAAATGATTAATGTCTCGAGTGGTTTTTGTAACTTCACAAAGCTTTACTAGCTTTTTCCTAATTTTTGCCCTTTTTCATCAAAACATTTATAATTTTTCCTCTGATACTGTTTGAAAATTTCACATTGATTCTTTGTCCTCAAACTATTTTAGATCCATATTCTTGGCAAAGACATTTTCAACACTGGCCAATTCACTCAGTAGGAATGCCAAATTAACACATATAAAAGTAAGTGACACAGAAGTTAAAATTTTATTCTAACTATCTAGTACAGACATCCTCTGAGAAGACAAACATTCTTGGTTGATAAAGAACTTGGGGTTAAACATTTTTGCATAAGTAAAATATCTGAATTTAATTTTAGTACTGGAAGGGTGGAAAAGTACATGTGACAAAAAAGCCTGTGAGGGTGCCGGCGTACTTTTCAAGATTTAACAAATTAGTTTATTTTTCTTGTTTCCTTTCCCTCCTATCTAATTCAAAAAGTTTGTTTTCTTACGGCTACATGCATACATGCCTTGTTAATCTGACTAACTGTCAGAATGCTGACTGACAACAAACTGATGCAGCACTCAAACAGCTGGAAGCCTGCAATTAGCCTGTAAAAATCTGGACTGCAATTTTCCATCATATGACACATGAATCACCCCTAAGACCGGACCACCACGGAACAAACTGGACACCCGGAGACGCTCTCCTGGACGTCAGCACTACGGAGTCACGTGACTAACTCTCCCTTTTCTTTGTTCTGCTACTTCCTGGGGACCTACAAAATCTCTTCACCATTCTAGGTACTATGGGAAGGTGGTCTTTGGGATGATAGTCCGCCATATTCCTGGAATGCCAGCATTTTGATTAAACCTACTTTTCTTTCCAACTCTAGTCGCTCATCGCTGGCTCACAATCGGCAAGCAGCCAAACTTGAGTTCGGTAATCAGCACTCAAAACGGTATAATGCTGAGCATTACTTGAGGTGAAGAGGGTGCAGTGCAATTTCCCAGGGAGTGGATGCGGAAGGACACTGTTAGAGCATAAAAGTCTAACACACAACTTGAAATATTTGTGTTGCCATAGTTTAAATTCCTCTGTACCTCAATTTATTCAAGTCTATGTTTACCCCCATTTGTTTAGTTAATTTGCTGAGAGAGTTGAGACAAGGGACAAGTCTAAGTCGGCCTAACATAATGCAGAAAATGGAAACATGCACAAATGCAGGAACCCAGATTGAGAATTAATCTTGAGAATATATCCCATAAGGCAATCTGCAGGAACTTTGGGCGGGGTTTCAGACCTTCACATGGAATTGAAAAAGGGATGCAAATATGATCTAGATCCTAAAAGATCTAGAGACTTCAGCTGATAGCTGAATGACAGAAATAAATCTCATTTCTCTCAGTCTCCATTTCACTTTCTATTCATATTCATCCAACTGAGGAAGTTAGTCACAAATATACTCATTATGTTTCCTATCTTAACCCTGCATCACAAAACTAAATATCTGTACATTTAAGTACAGCTAGAAAAACTTTTCACTGTTTCTTTAATTTTATATAATTTTATCTATTCCTTGAAATATTTCTAAAATTGTACCAGCTTGGATGAGCATCAGAAAATACTAAATGAGAAGATGGTATGTAACTTTTATGTTTCACATGCTAGAGAAAGGTAACCAATGGATTGGCAATGCAACCTGAATGTAAGAATTTGAAGGGAGGTCAACCAAGATGGCAACATAGGGGGCTTCTAAAGGGCCCTCTTCACAGAGACACAGTGACTATACAGCTACACACAGAGCAATTCACTCTGAATAAATCCAGAAACTATTGGGTTGTCGGAAAAGTCATGACGCATTTTTGCAATGAAACACATAAAAAAAATACATCATGACCTTTCCGATAACCCAATAGACGAGCAACGTCTACACACTGAGCGAATAAAAAAAATACCCACATCAAAATGGGTAGGAAAGGCTGAGGTACATCTCACCATAAACCTTATCCCTGGCACAGTATCATACAATTAATTGGGAGGGAACACTCAACTCCCAGCTTCTTTCTAAGGAGTAAAGGGTTTGGACCCTATATTTAGCACTCCAAGGTTTAAGACTCCCACTTGAGGGATGGACCCCCAAAGCATCTAGCTGTGAAAGCTGCTGAAGTTTGTATCCATGAGACTCACACGTCAACAGTAAACAAAGGAGCAGCTGTTAATGGGCACAGAGCACTTAGTATAGCTTTCCCTCTAGGACTCAGAGCAGAGGGAGCAGGCAAAAGCACCCATCTCTCAGGCTTTTCCTGAACAAGTTCCGTCTACATACTTTGAAAGCTGCTGCCTGAGGGTCATGTTTATAATTTAGCATACATTCAGGGCTTGACTGTAATCCTCCCCAGAGACTGGGGAAGCTCGCACACATGTCCCTGCCATTCCCCTGTAGCCCACTGCCAGTATCCTGTATCCCCAGGAAGGAGCTTGTACACACGTGTCTGTGCCCCCGCTCTTTCACTGCCACCTGAAGCATGGGTCCCCAGATGGCCTGGTTCTGATAGCCAAGGTGCTTCCCATCGACTGTGGCAAAAAGAAGGAGTTCTTAACTGGCTACCCCCTGGGGCTTAGCACAGAGGAAAGAGATAAAAATGCCCATTTCTCAGTATTTCCCTGAAAGGAATCCAGCTGCATACTTTAAAAGCTGCTACCAGAGGGTCAGGCTTCTAATTTAACTCTCACCAAAGGCATGGCTTTGATTCTTCCCAGCAAAGGGAAAGCCAGCAGACACCTCCCCTGCCCTTACCCTGCCCTTACCCTGCCCTTACCCGTTAGCCCGCTCCAAGTCACCAGCATTGTCCTGGAGGGAGCTTGTGCAAACATGTGTGCCTCAGCTTTCATAGCTGCAGCACAAGGGACAGGTCCCTGGACCACCTGACTCTCATAGGCAACAGGGCTTTCACTCAATAAATTCTGTTGGAAAAACTGGATTTCCAAAGGCAAAAGAATGAAACTGGACCTGACATTACGCTGTACATAAAAATCAACTCAACATGGATTAAAGATGTGCACGTAAGAACTGCAACATAAAACTCCTAGAAGAAAGCATAGAGGGTAACTTCCTGGACATGGGTATTGGCAATGATTTTTTTGGGCTTGACACCAAAAGCAAAGGCAAAACAAAACAAACACAACAAAACCACAAGTGGGACTATATCACACTAAAAAACATCTGCTTAGCAAAGAAAATCATCAACAAAATGGAAAGGCAACCTATGTAATAGGGAAAAATATTTGTAAACCACATATCTGATAAGGGGTTAATATCCAAAAATATACGAAGAACTCATACAACTCAATAGACAAAAAAAAAATAACCCAATTCAAAAATGGGCAAAGGACCCAAATACACATTTTTTTCAAAGAAGACATACAAAAGGCCACCAGGTACATTAAAAGGTGCTCAACATTGCTAATCATCAAGGAAATGCCAATAAAACCACAATTATCACCTCACATATATCAGGATAGTTATTATAAAAAAGACAAGAGGTAACAAATGCTGGCAACGATAAAGAGAAAAGGGAACCCCTACACACTGTTTTTGGGAATGTAAAACAGTCACTGGTACAGTCACTCTGGAAAACTGCATAGAGGTTCTTCAAGAAATTAAAAATTGAACTACCATATGATCCATCAATCCCATTTCTGAGTACATAGCCAGAGGAAAAGAAAGCATTGCCTTGAAGAGATGTGTGTATTCCCGTGTTCACTGCGGCTTTATTCTTGTAATAGCCAAGTTCCTCAAAGAACTCATGTCCAGCAATAGATGAATGGATAAAGAAAATGTGGTATATACATACAGTAAAATATTAGTCAGCCTTAAAAAAGAAAATCCTGTCATTCACAACAACATGGATAAACCTGGAGGGCATTATGCTAAGTGAAATAAGCCAGACAAAGACAAATACTATGTTGTATCATTTATATGGGGAAATCTAAAGAAAAAAAGTCAAACTTATAGAAGTAGAGAGTAGAAAAGTGGTTGCCAAAGGCTGCGAAGTGGGGGAAACAAGAGGAGTTTGGTAAAAGGATATAAAGGTTCAGTTATAAGATGAGTGAAGTCTGAGGATCTAATGTGTAACACGGTGACAACAGTTGATAACACGGTACTGTATAATTGAAGTTTGCTAAGAAAGTAGAATTTAAATATGCTCCCTCCCTCCAAAAAAGGGGTGAGGTGATGGATGCGTTAATTAACATGATGAGAGGATCCTTTTACAATGGATATGTATATTAAATCATGAAGTTGTACCCTTTAAATGTCTTACAATTTTGTTTGTCAATTATACTTTAGTAAAGCTGAAAAATAATTTTGTAATTTACCTTACTTTATGACAAGAATTAAGAAATATAACTCCAGAGTAAAATTCAATGTGCTTTTAAAATAAGTATATTAATTGTATTGTTAGGGAGCTGTGTGGATGATATCTTGGCTTATTACTTTTCATTGTTCATTGAATTCTCAATACATTAAACATAATGTCTACAAAGGAGAGAGAGACAAAGACAGAAAGGAGAGAGAGGGAGACTTCTCACATCTGTATTTTCAACCTTATGCAAAAATACCTAGCTCTTCATTTTTTACACAAAGTTGACAGTCTCGCCTCTGGAGAAAGATGACAAAATTGCAAGAATCTACCATTCTCCTCCTATCTCCTACCTGTCATTAGTTTTGATACATCCCTACACAGAACAAAGTCATTAAGTCTGACAAGATGCATAGAAAAGTATAGCAAAATTGGCAGTATGTGCAATTGCAGTGATGGTTGGAGGCTTCTAGATCCCTCATTTTCTGTAATTATCATATGGACTAGGTAAGATGACTGACTTTTCTTTCTTGTTCTTCAATACCCCAACATTTAGAACATCTTGACCAAAATCCTTTGATCCAAGTAAGCAATTTAAGGAGACCGTGGGTTTACCTTCGTACACGTTCCACTCTGTCATCTACCCGAAGATACTTCTTGGCATTTTCTCCTTTGCCACAGTCTTCGAGATTGGCAAAAACCTAGCCCAAATACCAAGAAAAACTTTGAAATACCAAATTACCTCAGGGTATTCTTTCTAAATTATTTCCATTTGAACAGAAGAAATATGGGCATCCAGGATGGCTTTTAGGGAAAAAAAAAAAAATTGGAGTAATAGATCAAACTTGGGGAAGGGAGAACATCTATATTTTAAATCTGAATTTTTATTAACGGTGCAAAATGTTTTTTAAAACAGAAGCATTGGGCCGGCCGAGTGACTCAGTTGGTTACGTGCTCACTCAAGGGTGCGAGTTCTGAGCAACAACGGTTTGATTCCTGGCCTGAACTGAGCTGCTGCTGAGCTGCCAACAGGTGGCAGGATGGCTCAGCTAAAAAATAAAAAATAAATAAATAAATAAATAAGAAGCATTAATAAGAATCTAAATAAAAACAAATGTATAAAAATAGTGAAAAGGAAGCAAAATGGAAAGAGGTCATAATTCTAAGTCGTCATTGACTTTTATTATGGTGAACTGGCATCTTTTCATAGCAATGTTCATGTACCCTCTCTCAAGGATATTAACATTTCCAAATGATTGGCTCATCTGAAAGTCATAAGTTTACATGTTAAGAATATTAGAAAAATAAAAGAGTGAGGGGCAGGAATTGTATTTTGTACTTTTTGAGGATATGTAGGCTGCTTTTCTTTTTCTGAATTAACTACGACTTCGGGTTGAATGATATAATGAAATATAAGAAGTTGAATTACATTCCTATCAATACCAAGTACACGTTCTAGGGCATATGTTCCTGTATTCCTTTCTGTAATTATTATGCTGTTGAAATGATTTCCGCATCCCTTGAAACTTGAAACGCGCACTTAAGAAATATTTAAGTATGTCCCGTGGCTTAATAATTTATAATAAATTAATAAACAAAAACATGAACTACAAAATTAGCCTTAATATGAGCTCAGAAATCTCATAAATATTACAATATTTTTCTTAATATGACATGAATATTTATTCTGTATACAAATGTTGAGGAGAACTGAGGGGCAGGAAGGTGGTACAGTCTCAGCTCTGAGGTCAAGTCTATCTTGTTCTTAAGTAAATGACTGGCACACACTACATTGCCAATAAATATATATACTACTTAGAATAAGTAAATAAATGCATTACAATGGAAAATGCATGAGATTTGAGTTTAAACAAATATGAATTTGAATCTCAGCCACACCCTTTAGTGATGTGAAACCTGTGGGACAGCTACTTTACTCCTGGGACTTCCAGTTCCTCAGCTATAAAATGAGCAGACTAGTGAGGATCTCACACAATAATGCTAACAACTATGTGAAATGATTTCATGCGCTGGTTCATATAAGGAGCGTCATGGCTCCCGTTACACATCACTGGGACTCCACAAATGTGAATTCCTTTCTCTTTGTGTTATAAGACAGGGTACGTTTCTGCTATCCTAGGTGCCACTATATCCCTGGAGGACACTGTGGATTGGAGCTGGTGGTAGGCAGCCACTTCATAGCCTGCTGCTCTAACACCTGGTGGCAAGAGCGATTTTAACACGTGGGTATGTGGCCCCATTAAAATGCAAATATCCTCAGGGAAGGAATTACACCTCAAGGCTGTAACAAGGAAATACCTTAGGGAAGAATGGGACCTCTAGATAAGGTCAAGGTTCTGGAGGACAAAAACTCAGGACAGGCAAGGAGAGAGAAATAGGTGGCTTTCAAGAAGGAGCTGCTGAACAGGTACAGGGAATCACATCAGTGAAAGGGATGTAAATGTCCGTAACTGTTACGTTGCTCTGTACATCTGAAACTAATAATACTAAAGAAAGAACAAAAATGGCCATAAGCAAAAAAAATTTAAAAATCATTTTACTTTGTCAAGGTAGCTTTGCTCAACTCCCCTCACTGTGTTGCAACCCTACCTGAATACAGGCTATGTGCTCCAAAATCTTTCTACCACTTTCCCTGTGCCTCCAGTTGTTTGTTTGTTTGTTTGTTTGTTTAAATCATTCATATAATGCTGGGTAGCAATATCACCCACCTAAGAATTCAGAAATATACAAAATTCAAATGCTTTGTCCCATAAAGAGCTCTACTGTGGGAATAAGAACTTTTAATTTTGTCCCCACAGATATATCATTTACCTGTAACAGAGCAGAAAACACCACTTACCTGTCTGGGAAATATTTTCTAAACTCTAGTTGGCAAATTAACTTCAAAACAACAAACTTTCCTTGAAAGCTTTGATACTCCAGAAATCTCATATGTTAAGCAGCATGACCAAAGGTAAAATCCACAATTAAAAACAAACAAAAAAAACATTTGCTGGTTTCTGGGGGAAAGCACCTGTTCCATAAATACACCAAATGATTGCATATTTCATTTGCAACATTCAACAATGTACCACTGGACTTTACAAAAACAAAAAATATAAACTAAGAAAATTGCTTTTCAGAATTTCCACTCATAAAAGAAAAGATTTCCTCCAGTCTTACCTTTCTTGTTATTCTATAGAACGCAGTGATAGTGCTCATAAGCATCATTTTTGAAAGAACAATCGTTGTATAGGAGGCAAAGGCCATGAATACTTCATTTTCCATTAGTTGGGTGACGTGAACCATTTTTTTCCAATTTTGATCTGGAATCTTAAAAAGATCATAGACAAGATAAGGAAAAGCTGGCATAGATACCCCAGATAACTTGATGGTCACTTGGTGTGCTTATATTGCAGCATTAATCATACTGTTCTTTAAAATATCCTGGGTTATTTGCAGAAAAAATAATCATTTAGCTTTCTAGAATTTCAAAATAAACAGTATTATGTTTTATTTCTAGTTCTATGTAATGACGTAGAAGCTTGAAGACATCAAATGAGTAGAAGGAAAGTGGAAATGCAGGGGGTATTACCAGCAAAGATAAACAGAAAAAATGCTGTAAAGATAAACTAAAATCATATTTTTACATCAAGATGAACCACAAATTGGACACAAGCGACCAGAGTTCACGCACTGAGCTCTTTAGAAATATCAAACTATGTACATAGTGGTGCCATTAATGTTTGACTAGTAATGCCTAAATTCTAATCTAACCTAATCTAAGCCCTCTTTTAGAAACCAAACTTGCAGCTTGTTATCATTTCAGTAGTACTCCAGATCTCAGTCTCCAGGATTTGAATTCCAGTCCCACCACTGGTTATCTTGGTTGAAAGACTGGGCCTCTCTAAGGCTAAATTTGATTTATAAGTTGGGACAAGTAATAGCTCCTAACTTATTGTGTTGCTGTCAGGATTTAATTGAGACAACACATGGAATATACTTAGCACAGCACCAGGCCCATGGAAAACCCTCAATACACTGTATTGTATCCTTACCATGATCATCACTACCACCATGCTCATGATCATTATAAATACCAACACCAGTGAAGAAGCGGGATAACAAAACATAAAATAACAGGCTTGCAAATGCAAGGTGAAAATGTGGCATTTATGGTACTCTCATAGAAGGACGAAGGGAAGGTTTAGCTCTACACAATTCTTTAGGTGACTTCATATGCCATCTAAAAGCTGCCAAGGGTAAACTGAATGTAACTATCTTAGTCCAGAGTTGGACGTCCAATTGGGAACGTGCAGGGGCAAAGCTAAGGCACACTGGTGATACTGAAGTCAAGGTGGGTAGGAATTTAGGGTAAATCTTAAAATTTAAACTCCCCACACTATCTGGTAGTCACGCTTTTTAACCTCTTCTTGTTCCATTATCAGCTCTGCTATCTGCTCCTTCTGTCGCTTCCACACAAACACACATCTCTTCACATACCCAAACTTAAATGCTATTTAACATGCTTAGGGTGGAGTGCTACCTCTTCTAGACAATGTTCTTCCCTGCCTTTAAAACTCAACCCCTGGGCCAGCCAAGTGGCTCAGCTGGTTAAGAGCTCACTTGGGAGCGCCAGCTCTGAGTAGCAGGGCAGCAGTCCAGATCCCACATTGAGGGCCAGTGATGCTGCGCCCTCTACAGCTAAGATGGTGAACAACAGCTCGACCTGGAGCTGGGCTGCTGAGTTGCCTGCAACTGCATAGGCTGCAGCCCCTGCTGCAGTGGGCTGCCATGAGCTACATGAGTGGCAGCCAGTGTGAGCAGCTGGCAGCCGGTGTGAGCGGCGGACCAATGGCCATCGATCGATTGCCTCACCAGGGAAGAGCACAATGATCATGCCAACATGGGCCAGTGAAGCGCCATCCTCCACAACTAGACTGAAGAACAAAAACAGCAATTTGTCTACCTGTCTGTTCCCCTTTCCCGATTCCCCAACGCTGTCCCCTTCCCCCAATTCCCCAATAAAATCTTAAAAAAAACCTCAACGCCTATATGCAACCATATTAGACCGACATCTATCGAATTCTAATTACTCCATCCATCTACCAATAATCGATAAATCTACAAATCTTTCTATACTCTTATTGGTCATATAGTTGTCTACGTGCTGCTGTTGAATGTGATACAAACCACACACATATACATAAATATTTATAGGAGTTGACTGACATAATTTTGAGTTGACTGCATGTCCAACCATGCCATGTACTTTATATGCATTGCCTTACATAATCTTCATCATTATAATGTTAAAATCCTCATAACTAGATCAATTTTACAGATGAAAAAAATGGGAATTAGAGATGTGAAGCAGACAAGCTGGAACACAAACCCACATCTCTGATCTCATATCTCATACACTAACTACATTGCACTGTCTCCTTCAAGAGACTGAAAACTGCTTAATTCTGTTTCAGCTACTATTGGCTAAATGCATACTCCGCAGCTGGCACTGCTGGTGCCCCTCACAGCTGTTATCTTCTTTGTCTTCCAATTATGCTACAATGTGGGTATCACTATTCCCATTTTGCAAATAAAGGAACCAAAACTTCCTAGGTAACCCCTGTCTTAAAGGGTCGGCCAAAAAATGTACTCCTTCGATTTAGGCAAACAGAAATGATATATTCTAGTTTAAAAAAACAAAACAAAATACATGTAACAAATTAAATCACCCCTACAAGTCCGTCATCTTGAAAGCACAGTATGTTCAATAACTGTCTGTGCAAGATTATACTTTCAGTAACATTTAACGTATCTGCACTTGTTCTAGTACTGAGGGGGTGAAAGTCATGAATAAGTCGCACTATCCTTCAGAGCTCATGTAATTAGCTTAATAAGGGATCCCTTAGTTCTACGCCTTTAGACAGAGATCTGAAGAAACAGCAAGGATGTTAATTAAAAAAAAACTTAGGAAAAGTTTATCAAGTAGGAAGTGTTTCTATTTAACAATAATTTTTAAAACTAAAAAAGTTTCTGTAGGTCTCTACTAGTGTTAACAGAATGAAGTTTATTTAGCAATGGAATAAAAATCCAGAGAACGTTTTCCCTCAAGTGAAAATTGGTATGGAGAGTGTAGAGAACAAGTGGAAGCTTCCACTTGTTTTTGGTGGGAAAAGAACACAAAGATGTCAGCAGTTGGAGGAAAAGGACAATGGAAAGCTTTTCCTTTAAATGTGAACAACACTGAAATTGCGCCTCACACAAAGAGTGTTTCTCAGTCACCAAAACGTGGCTTAACTCCTCAGGAATGTGGTTTTGGGAGAAAGGCTGACAGGGAGCCTCTGATATCACACCCTAAAGGTCCATGAAGGAACCGCCTCTCTGGAACCGACATCTTCCACTCCCAGCACATCTGAGGGTCAGCTGAGGAGTGAAGGTAAGACATTGGAAATAGCAGTCATTTACAGCATGGAATAGGTGATGCTGGTCTAGACGTTTTTTTCAAAGCTGATTTGTCAGTAAGTTGCCTTGAGCCTGCATCATAGCTGGGTGCTGCGCTCCAAACAAAATGACTGAAAGCTTTTACAGGAAAGGTCGCCAGGGAGGAAGAGAGCAGGGTTGTAGAAATAATAATTAAGGGGGTAAAATGTGAGGTGATTTGTGTATTCTAGGAATGAGGTAGAAATAATCTAAGAAAAGTAGGCAGAACAAAATATGAAATTTAGTTATAAATTATAGAACATAAACTAGTACGATATGCAGCGTGTTGTTCCTTTTATTGTCCATCAGCCGTTGGCATAATAGAGAATGCCTCGCCAGGGAGCAGGGCTCTGTCCCTAACAAGCAGGTGACTGTCTTTGAGAGGACAAAAAGCAGCGTGCTGCGCGCACAGGCTCTGGAACTACACTGGAGTCCGGCTGGATCTCTCGACTCTGTCACTTACTAGCTGTGATTGAACTTCTCTGGGGCTTACTTACCTTCCCTGGAAAATGAGGTTAATAATACTTCCTCCCTCACAGGAATCTGTGAGCGTTAAATGAGTAAAGTGGAAAGTACTTAGAAAAGCACTGGGACCTGGTAAGTGCTCTCTAAGTGTTCGGTAAATAAGTAGCTCCTACTGTTCTAGGTCATGAGGATACAATTTTACGGTTTTCAAAAAGCTTTCCCATTATCTCACTCGATCTGGAAAACTGATAGAACAAACAATGTCTGTCTCTACCTTCAACACATAAGCAAACTGGGGCTCTGAGATAGAGTGAGTCCTTTGACCCAAATTCACAATGGAGGGACCAAGGCTGAAACCCAGTTTTCTCAAGTGTCTTAACTCATGGGCTATCCACCATCAAGGCTAGCAATAACTGGAGACGGCGCTGGTCTTCTGGAGGCCTTTTTCTATCAAATGCCATTCCTATCTTCCCCTCCCCTCTCCACCCTTACCAATTGAGTCTTCATCTCTCAACTGAGGAATCTTTCTCTTTGTTATTGGCCAAAAAGAGCAAAGTTCCCTTATTTATGGTAACCAATGTCAATATTGTGAAACACACAGAAAATATGGGCACACATCCAGGCCCATGACTCTGCATTTTGCACCTTCTGAAACCAATAGAACACTACATGAGACAAGGAATAAAAGACAATTCAGTGCCCTTGCTGCTGTCTGAGTTTTCGAATTTCCTGACGGATTGAGGTGACTGCAGACTTGCTTCAGAACCCAGGTGCTGAGAGGAAAATGCTGGTGGATCTAGGGGGATTCGGGGTGAGGCTGTTTTCAGGGGACTGAGCGGACTTCCTTTTCCAGCCTCAGTGATTAACAAACGCTGCTCTAAAACAAACCTTTAGAAAAACTGTACTTGTCTGCTACAGAGAGCACTATCCACATGTGGACTGATGCGCCATTTTAAAAAAGGACCCAAAATGGTCAACACAGTCCTCTTATTTTGGAAACAACAGTGGACAAAGCCCCAAACTACCCTAACTCCCAGAATGTCAGCCCACAGGGGATGCAAAGGTGTCTAGCCTGGTATCCACAGCAGTTTAGGGCCCTGAGAACTCCAGGCCTGACTGGCTTAAAGGCTTCTCTTGGCTGGGCGCCTGGAGAAGTTTCCACCTGGCCACACAACACAATGCTTGATTACGGCCCCCTGGAGAGAAAGCAGGCACAGGGAAACGGACAAAATAAAAGTGGTGCCCGGGACAAAATAAAAGTGGTGCCCGGACTACCAAGAGGCCTTGGAATTATTTCAAAGGAAGCAGGAACTTGGAAGACGTGCAGGCACCCTTCTTTCCACCTGCCCCCTCCGGTGATAGCAATACTATCTGCGGCCTTAACTCCCACAGAGGGTCCCCTTCTCTTTCACTCCTTTCACTTGGCTTCCTCCTCCAAATTGGAGGGTGGAGAAACTCCCAGGGAGTTCTAGCCTTAGCTTTCCAGGCAACTGGCCATAAAAAGATCAGAGTCTAATCCATGTCCTTGTGCACTTTATTATTATTATTATTATTATTATTATTATTATTATTATTATTATTATTATATCACAGTGTCTAATCTATGTCTTCCTGCACTCTGTTGTTATTATTATTTTAAACTTTCTGATATTGCTCTTCCTTATCAAAATGAACCAAAGAGTAGCAAGTCCCATCTCAGCAGGCACAGAGGCCAATTTGACCATGAAATAGAGCTGCTTCAGGATTTTACACGTTTAGGGTGAACAGAAATTGCTTCAACTACAGCGACTTTATATAATATCACAACTTGCACGTCCTTTTTATTCCCCAAAAGTTCAAGGGGGCCTTTCAAAGTGGATGCTACTTTGGCTTGAGAATTAAAAAGTGAGTAAATCATCCCTCAAACATGAAAAGACTTATTCTCTCAAGTTTCATTCCTGGAGTTTGACAACGGCAAAACTTACCGACGAGGGTACAGGAACACTTTCAGAAGTGATTCGCTGAAAAAGCAAACGTTTAGCAGCTAAATAGAGCAAAGATGTTGCAGGCTGTCAGAGACCTCTCCAGACTGCACCCGCCACCGACCTTTCCCCTTCTGCCCGCCGCCCTCTCCAAACCTTCTCCCTCCACATCCCTTCCCCGGCACGTACCGTGGATCCCTGCAGGAGTAAGGCAGCAGACGTGTCCAAGCAGGCGGGTCGCAGCACCGCGGGGACTTTCACAGAGGCGCGGGTGGGCGGGACGCAAGCACCGCGCCCACTCTGGCTAATTTCCTAATTGGCCCTCCAGAGTTTAAAGCAGGACTCCCAGCCCTCCCCTAAAATCGCCTGATCTCTCTTTCTCTAGGAGAAGAACCAGCGCCAACCGGTTTCCCTATTTGAATCCTTCTGTTTGGCGCCTGTAGAAGCCCTCCTTCCGGAAATGCCATTTCTCTTACTTCGTGGGGCGGGGACGTTAAGGGTTGTATAGAGGAGGACCTCTGTATCCTCGAGCATTTCAACTATGGAAGTGAAAGTAGGGAAAAGGCCGTTAACTTTTATTTAGCTGGAAACAATGTAGAAAGATCTTAATGTGGAAATTTGAAAGCGTTAAAAGCTTTATAGAAAATTTAAATCTCTAGGGAAAAATAAACTCGTTAGAAGTCGTTGGTAAAATTATGTTCGTTGAACTTTACTTTCCCTGCACCTGTGGCAAGGCGAAGGCTGGCACTGCCACAGTGTAAACATTTACCAAGGATCACCTATGCCTTCCCAACTCTGTGATCCCAGACAACTTGCTTCCTCACTCTTTCCCCTTGTGTTCAGAGTCCAAAATGGAACTAGAGGAGATGATTTTGGATCAGTTCCTTACACAATCAGCTTAGTATGGTTTTTACAGGGACAGCTAAGGGAGTGTTTTAGGAAGGCATGGTTATTCTAATATCAATATCTAGATTAGAGATATTTCCAAGCTTCCTAACCCACAGCAATATTTATGGGTCTAGCTTCCATAGCTTTATCTAAAAATGTTTAAGGACTTATATGTTTTCTTTTTTTAATTATTTTTT